AGCCGGCCAAGGAGAGGTGGGTCAGGGTCTCCACCCCCCTGATGTCCACGCAGGGGGCACCCTCTGCCTCGCCCGCGCCAGCCGGCTGGGGACAGAGGTCGACCCGGTTGCGGCTGAGGTCCACGGTAGTGATTTTCCTGGTGGAGGTGAACACCCCAGGAGGAAGCGCCCGCAGGCTGTTGGTGCTGAGGTTGAAGAGCTGCAGGTTGGGCAGGACGTCCCCGGCGCCCATCTCCATCCCCAGCTCCACCAGACGGTTCTGGCTGAGGTCCAGCTCCGCCAACGCGGCTAAGGAGTCTCCCTCCAACAGCTGAAACGTCTCCAGGCAGTTCTGGTTGAGCTTCAGGTGGGCCAGGGAGGGCATCTGGGCCAGGAAGCCCTCTGGCAGGTGCCAGACCTGGTTCTGGCTCATGTCCAGGAGGCGCAGGGAGGAGAGGTTGCTGTGGCAGATTTCGTCCCAGAGGCTGACCGTCGTGACGTTGGTGGAGTTGCCATCCACAAACAGGAACTGCACCTTGACGTCGGCCAGAGACGTGCCGTTGGGCAGCCGCTGGTAGAAACTCATCTCGTTGTCCTTCAGCAGCAAGGAGTGCAGCTTGCTTTGCCGGGGCAGCACAGGAAAGAAGAGGAGGTGGTTGTGGGACAGGTCTAGCACCTCCAGCTCGAAGAGGTCATCGCTTTCCACAGCCAGAAACCATTCAATGACATTGTTGCTGACATTGAGCACCCTGAGCTGGGTCAGGCCAAACTCCACGAGGCACGGGAGGTAGTTGTAAGCTATGTTCAGCCTCTGCAGCCTCTGCAGTCCTTCAAAAGCTTGGTCAATCTCAAAGATGTAGTTCTTCTCCAGGTTCAGCTCCAAGAGCTGCGACAGGTTTGTGAAGACAGACGAGTCCAGCCTCATGATGATGTTCCTAGCCACGGACAAGGATTCCAAGGAGGACAGGTTCCAGATCAAAGCTGATACCATGTCCTCAGTGAGGCGGTTTCCAGCGAGATCCAGCATCCTCAAGTCTGGCAGAGCAGAAAGAGCAGCTGCTGTCAGCGAGTAGTTGGTGAAGAGGAGGTTGTCTGCCAAGGAGAGCACGTGGAGACCTCGGCTGCTGAGGAAGGCACCAGGCTCAATGAGCTCTAGCCAGTTCTTGGGCAAGCTGAGACATCGCAGGTGGTGGTACGGGAGCAGGGAGGTGTTCCCCAGAACCTTGATAGTGTTGTCATCAAGCAACAGCTCCTCCATGTCCCCTCGAAGGGTTCCTGGGACGGAGCTTAGCCATCTCCTAGTGCAGTTTGCAGTGCTCTGCACCTAAAGCAAAACGTGGTCATGTAACCCCACTCTGAGAGGCAGGAGGTGGAGGGAGACGAGGAGGAAGAAGTTTGGGGAGAAGAATGAGAACGGAGGAGCTGGCCCTACGGTTAGAGCCTCAGCACCCCTTGAGCTAAGCCAGTCACAGCGAGAGGGAAGGTCTGGAGATGCAGAGGCTCCTGGGCTTTGCAGGGCAGAACAAGCAGTCAGGAGGGTGAGGGTTGGCAAGAGAGGACTTACGAGCTCACAGCCCCCGGGAGATGCCGCCCAGGCTGCGGGTGCCTTGCTGCCCCATCCTGCTGCCAGGAGGACCAGGAGCAGGGGGAGTCCAGGGCACGGGGGCTCCATCTCAGCGGTGGCGCTCCTGCCGAGGTGGAGACAGAGGTGAGAAGGTCAAAAGCTGCAGACCTCTGGAAAGCCCAGGGCAGCAGCAATCCCTGTGCACGGCCAGCTCCTGCCCGTGGCTGCTGCCTGCAGAGCTCCTGGCGCTCCCCCCGGCAGCACCCAGAAGCCACCAAGGGGAGCTTGGAGGGCAGAGGTGGGACGAGGAGGTGGCAGCCACGGGTCAGTGCCCACGGGAAAGGCACCATCACCACTGCACTGCTGCTGGACTGCAACCCCCAGGAAGAACCTTCTCCCCAGCCCAGGGCTTGTGTCCTCGCTCTCTGGGACCAAACACTCCCCTGGGAGACACTGACCCAGCCACCACCGAGCCCCCTCCAGCACCCATCTTGACCCAAGGTCCTCTCCCTGGGAGGCAGAGGCTCTCCAGAGCGAGGTGCCCTTTTGCTGACTGGGTGGAACCAGAGCTGACAGCATTTGCATCTGGGGAAAAGCTGAACCTCAGGCAAATGAGCCCCGAGGTCTCGGCGAGGGCTGGGCAGGCAGCGTTTCCAGAGCTGCCCGTGCTTGAAGAAACAGGGTTATTTTGGGCAGCCCAGGGAGCTGGAGCCTCACGGCGCAGAGGGAGCAGGGCACACGTCCTTGTTGGCTTCTTTTTGGGGACAACCCAAAGCGTTAAGCTGGCGTCTTGTCGATGTGATGTTGGTCAATGTGGGGGGGATGAAGAGGAAGCCCCTTCCCCGGGCTACAGCAGCTTCTGCCCTCCCAAGCCTTTGGTCTCCAGCAGTCCCTTGCACCCAGGCACAGCAGTAGGAGAAGGACCCTACTATGTCTTCTCCACGCTCAAAAACTGGGCTTGGGCTCCAGCTTGCCTGTT